AGAGAAAGAGCTGGAGTCGACGACGAGTTCCAAATCTGCAAGTACGGGCTCCAGAAAGACATCTTGGAACGGTTGCCGAGACTTCCCAGAAAACAGCTGTGCAAATGTGTCAGAAAGGAAACAGAATATTGAAGGATATTAGGAGTGGGATAGAAAAGAATACAAGGGATCTATCGACACCTGAACGCATGGGGAATATAATGAGAGCAATTATCATCATTAATGGGAAGACATTGGCATAGCTCCAGAGGTCGTCCTCTTGAAATATCAGTGATGTGAAAAGGTTTTTTGGAGGATAGGACTCAATGGAGCCATGGGTTCAAATGACAAAAAATGAGATCCTACTTAAACATTAGGAAGAACTTCCTGACCATAAAGCTGTTCAACAGTCAAACTCTGCTGGTACGTCTGTACCAGGAGCTCCAACTTTATTTTCTTTCTATTAAGTGTTTGCATGCAGGGATTCTGCAGAAAGGTGGCTTCCTTTGGTTTGCAGTCATAGGGCAAGCCACTTGTCTATCATTGTTAAGTTTGGATCCGCCCCTTCTCTCAGGGAGATGGGAAGAGGGAGCCATTTTTAGTTAGTCTGAGTGAGGAAAGCTAAGTTAGAGGACGTGGACAAGCTTCACCTGCAGAAAAGCTTCATTTCTTAAGACCATCCAGGGAAACTGAAGTCCAGGAAATTCCAGGGGAAAACAGTCCCAAAGCTCTGGCAAAGAGCTCACAGCCTCTCAGCCTTACGGCATCTGAGGGAAACAGCCCTAAAGACTCTAAGAAATTCCGGAGGGAAAACAGCTTTACAGACCCAGAGAACTCCTGCTGGAGAATCTGCAAGCCTTTACTGGTAGGTCTACTCGGTGCTCAAGACACAGTTTGAATCCAGTAGTAGGAGCCACATCAGTAAGGATTAGCTTATAGTCAGCCTGGAAGAGGTTAAAAAAGGGGTTTTCCTCTAAAGGAAAGGAACAGTTAATGAAGACAGTTGCCTGTCCCTCGTGGACAAGATTAAGGAAGCCACCAGTTAATTCCAAGCCTTGAAGCATTTGTTTGACCCATTGAAGATTTGAGAAATATCTGTTGGATTTGTTCAATAATAAAGGACTTTGTTACATCATTAAAGACTCTAAAGACTATCTCTACAGGGAAATCCTTAAAGGCCTCTTTCGAGGTGCCCCTGGCTTTGCGCTGAGCACAAGGTGCACGTCCTATTTCAAAAGTCAATTATTACAGGCCCAGCGCATGACAGAATACGAACTCTCTGCCTCAGAGTAGAAGGAAGACTACTTCTTTGGAGGCTGTCAAGCAGAGGCTGGATGGCCTTCTGTTGAGGGTGCTTTGATTGTGCTGTCCCTGCCTATCATAGGGGAGAGCAGACGTGCTTGGTGCATGACAGCATTGTGTGCATGTGTGGATGAGGGTGAGCATTTGAGGTCGGAGGGAGGTTCGTGGGGGGGGGGGGCTGTTTCTGAGACTCCAAGTGGGGACGGGAGAGCAGGCATGTTCGGTGCATGCCAATGTGGTGAGCAAATGCGGGCGAGGGAGAGCGTATGAGGCTGGAGGGAGGCTCGCACCAGCGAGTCCCTTCAAGGCATGGGAGTTCGTGTGGGAAGTTTGACCCAATTCTATTGTTGGTGGGTTTCAGAATGCTCTTTGATTGCAGGTGAACTATAAATCCCAGCAACTACAACTCCCAAATCATAGAATCAAAAGACCACATGGACAATTCAATCCAACCCCCTGCCAAGAAGCAGGAAAATTGCATTCAAAGCACCCCCAACAGTTGGCCATCCAGCCTCTGTTCAAAAGCTTTCAAAGAAGAAGCCTCGACCACACTCCAGGGCAGAGAGTTCCACTGCTGAACGGCTCTCACAGTCAGGAAGTTCTTCCTAACGTTCAGATGGAATCTCCTTTCTTGTAGTTTGAAGCCACTGTTCCCTTGCGTCCTAGTCTCCAGGGAAGCAGAGAACAAGCTTGTTCCCTCCTCCCTATGACTTCCTCTCACATATTTATACATGGCTATCATGTCTCCTCTCATATTAATGGCTATCATATCTTCTCTCATAAACATGGCTATCATGTCTCCTCACAGAGACATGGCAAGGTCTAGTTTCCCCAAACTCCACCAGTGTTCACATTTGGGTATATTGAGTATTTGTGTCAAATTCAGTCCAGATCTATCATTATTTGAGTCCACAATGCTCTCTGGAAGTAGGTGAACTGCAACTCCAAAACTCAAGACCAATGCTCACTAAACCCTTTCAGTATTTTCTGTTCGTCATGGGAGTTTTGTGTGCCAAGTTTGGTTCAATTCCAACATTGGTGGAGTTTAGAATGCTCTTTGATTGTAGGTGAACTATAAATCCCAGCAACTACAACTCCCAAATTTCAAGGTCCGTTTTCACCAAACCTCACCAATGTTCACATTTAGGCATATTGAGTATTTGTGCCAAATTCGATCCATATCCATCATTGTTTGAGTCCACAGTGCTCTCTGGGTGTGGGTGAACTACAACTCCAAAACTCAAGGCCAATGCCCACCAAAGCCTTCCAGTATTTTCTCTAGGTCATGGGAGTTTTGTGTGCCAAGTTGGGTTCAATTCCAACATTGGTGGAGTTCAGAATGCTCTTTGATTGTAGTTGAACTATAAATCCCAGCAACAACAACTCCCAAACATCAAGGTCTATTTTCCCCCATATGCCATCAGTGCTCGCATTTGGGTATATTGAGTATTTGCGCCAAGTTTAGTCCATATCCATCATTGTTTAAGTCCACAGTGCTCTCTGAATGTAGATGAACTACAACTCCAAAACTCAAGGTCAATGCCCACCAAACCCTTCCAGTGTGTTCTGTTGGTCATAGAAGTCCTGTATGCCATGTTTGGTTGAATTCCATCATTGGTGGAGTTCAGAATGCTCTTTGATTGTAGGTGTACTATAAACTCCAAAACTCACCTAACACTTCCAATATTTTCTGTTGGTCATGGGAGTTCTGTGTGCCAAGTTTGGTTCAATTCTATTGGTGAAGTTCAGAATGCTCTTTGATTGTAGGTGAACTATAAATCCCAGCTATTACAACTCCCAAATGACAACATCAATCTCCTCCCCAACGCTACCAGCGTTCAATTTTGGGTGTATTGGGTATTTGTGCCAAATTTGGTCTAGTAAATGAAAATACATCCTGCATATCAGATATTTACATTACAGTTCATACCAATAGCAAAATTAGAGTTATGACGTAGTGACGGAAATAATGTTATGGTTGGGGGTCATCACGACAGCAGGAACTGTATTAAGGGCCAGTTTCCAATCTCCCCTTCTTGGGCAAAGTCTTGGAACGTGTGGTGGCCTCACAACTCCAGGTATTCTTGGTAGACACAGATTATCTAGACCCAGCACAGTCTGGCTTTAGGCCGGGACATGGTACCGAGACAGCCTTGGTCGCCTTAGTGGATGATCTGCACCGGGAGCTCGACAGGGGGAGTGTGTCCCTGTTGGTGCTGCTGGACCTCTCAGCGGCCTTCGATACCATCGACCACGGTATCCTTCTGGGACGCCTCGCAGGGATGGGCCTTGGAGGTAGTGTTCTGCAGTGGCTCCGGTCATTCCTAGAGGGTCCATCTCAGAAGGTGTTATTGGGAGACACCTGTTCAACACCACAACCGTTGTCTGTGGGGTTCCTCAGGGCTCAATATTGTCTCCCATGTTGTTTAACATCTACATGAAGCTGCTGGGGGAGATCATCCGGAGTTTCGGGGTACGGTGTCATCTGTACGCGGATGATGTCCAACTCTGTCACTCCTTTCCACCTGCTACCAAGGAGGCTGTCCAGGTCCTGAACCGGTGCTTGGCCGCTGTGACGGTCTGGATGAGGGTGAACAAATTGAAATTGAATCCAGACAAGACAGAGGTACTCCTGGTCAGTCGCAAGGCCGAACAGGGCATAGGGTTACAGCCTGTGTTGGATGGGGTCGCACTCCCCCTGAAGACGCAGGTTCGCAGCTTGGGTGTGACCCTGGACTCATCGCTGAGCCTGGAACCCCAGGTTTCAGCGGTGACCAGGGGAGCATTTGCACAGTTAAAAGCTTGTGCGCCAGCTGCGCCCGTACCTTGGGAAGTCTGACTTGGCCACGGTAGTCCACGCTCTGGTTACATCCCGTTTAGACTACTGCAACGCTCTCTACGTGGGGTTGCCTTTGAAAACAGCTCGGAAGCTCCAACTAGTCCAACGCTCGGCAGCCATGATTTTAACAGGAGCGGAGCGCAGGGAGCATACAACCCCCCTGTTGCGCCAACTCCACTGGCTACCGATCTGCTACCGGGCTGAATTCAAAGTGCTGGCGTTGGCCTTTAAAGCCCTAAACGGTTCGGGCCCAAGCTACCTATCCGACCGCATCTCTGCCTATGAACCCACCAGGACTTTGAGATCTTCCGGGGAGACCCTGCTCTCGATCCCGCCTGCTTCTCAAGCACGGCTGGCGGGGACGAGAGATAGGGCCTTCTCGGTGGTGGCTCCTCGGCTGTGGAACGCCCTTCCTGCGGACATTAGACTAGCACCATCTCTAATTGTATTCCACAGGAAAGTGAAGACCTGGCTGTTTGAGCAGGCGTTTGAATAATTAGTGCAATGATTGGTTAATGAACATTGGAACAGAATAATGGATGACGAATCTGGATCATGTTTTTGATGATGAGATGATAGTGAATAGTGAATGGTTATTGTAGTAATTGTTTATTAATTGTGTAATATATTAGGTTGTTAACTGTTTTTACACTGTAGCGTTGAATTTTTGCTGTTCTTATTTGTCGTGAACCGCTGTGAGTCGCCTTCGGGCTGAGAACAGCAGTATAGAAGTAAAGTAAATAAATAAATAAGGGGCCGTGTCATTAGGAAGGTTGAGAAACACTGCGAGTATTTTGACAGATATGAAACCATCCTTTTACTGTTGTCTTGTCTGAAAAGTTCCAAATACTGAGTCTTTGTCTTCTCCTTCTCTTCCCAGCAAATGCTGACAGATCCCGAGAGCAGTTTGCAAGATGGCTGCATTAAAAAGGTAGGACAAAGGTTGAATCTCGTTCAGGTTGTATAACTTCAGTGTTTGGCGAAGCTGGAATTGTTTGCCTTGTTTGTCACTCTCTTGCGAGAGAAAGGGAATCTCTCTCCGGAACCATCACTTTGGGTTCTTGACCTTGCCAACTGGGCATCCAAGTAGGACTATTTCTTTGTGCCAAGGCTGTGCTTTGGGGTTGTGGTTTGTGTGCTCGGATTTTTAATAGAAGACTTTCTTAAGTTTGATGTAATTGTTGCGGCTCCAAAGTAGATTTCTGTCTGGATTTCCCCCCGATGCATTGACAACGGAGTTGTGTTGTAAATAGGTTTCAATTCGGTCTTTTTCTAAGAAGATATTTGAACCTGCAATTTTGTTGCACTAACAAAAAGAATGTGAATTTAATCTTGCATTGGGCTCCGCTTGTTTTCGTATTGAGCTGATTTTCGTACTGGAGAGGGAACGTCCCGTTACGTGCTCCTGAAGGTAACGAAAGCAACGAAAGAACGGATGAAATGAAGGAAAACGGTTGCGCACCCAACTCTAGTGTCCAACCCCCCAAAATTTCTTACTGTTTTGATTTTTAGGTCTGTTCCTGAGGTCATTTGGGGTACTGATTCTAAAAATTGCACTGGATAGACCACATCAGCTCTGGTTTCTTAGGTAGGGTAATCATGGTTGTCTGTGGGCAACTGGATAATGACTGATAGATACCATATTTTCTATATTTATTTATTTATGACATTTGTATGCCACTCTTCTCACCCTGAAGGGGACTCAGAGCGGCTTACAAGATAGATATACATACAATATATTATATTATTAGTATAGTACAGTATCAGTATTAAATATTACTATATTGTACTATTAATTTATTTACTGTATTTATACCCCGCTCTTCTCAACCCCGAAAGGGACTCAGAGCAGCTTACAAGATATAGATATAGATATAGATATAGTTCTAGATAACCCTGAAGGGGACTCAGAGCGGCTTACAAGATATATATACATACAATATATTATATTATTAGCATAGTACAATATCAGCATTAAATATTACTATATTATACTATTTATTTATTTACTGTATTTATATCCCGCTCTTCTCAATCCCGAAGGGGACTCAGAGAGGCTTACAAGATATAGATATTAGGGCTGGGCGGTTTCGTTTCGTTAATTCGTAATTCGTTAAAAAATTCGTTAATTTTTCAATTACAAAACGATAACGAACCAGTCTGGAGCAATTTTTTTAAAAAAACGAATTTTTAAATCGTTTCGTAAATGTTTTGTATTTCGTTATTGTATTCGTTTTGTTATCGTTTTGAGGTCGTTTCGTTATTATTTCCGCATGTCTGGGGCAAGTTTTATAGTTGTTTTTGGTTTTCTAAGGGTTTTTATAGTTGTTTTTGGTTTAATTAAGCTTCAGAAGTTCCCCCTGTCCCATTTGGAGGTTTTTTAGCGTATTGTGCGATTGCGTCCGCCATTAACGAATCGATTCGTTATTGTTTCGGAAATCGATTCGTTATTGTTTTGTAATTTTTTTCACATTTACGAAATTTCGTAAATATCGAACTTTTTTAAAGGAAAATTTTGTAATTATTTTAAATAACAAAACGCAAAAACCCAAAAAACGAATCGATTTTAGAAACAAATTTTTCCGTTGTTACCCAGGCCTAATAGATATAGATATAGATATAGTTCTAGATAACCCTGAAGGGGACTCGGAGCGGCTTACAAGATATATATACATACAATATATTATATTATTAGCATAGTACAATATCAGTATTAAATATTACCATATTGTACTATTTATTTATTTACTGTATTTATACCCTTATCTTCTCAACCCCGAAGGGGACTCAGAGTAGCTTACAAGATATATATATATATATATACATATATACATATATACATACAATATATTATATTATTAGCATAGTACAATATCAGTATTAAATATTACTATATTGTACTATTTCTTTATTTACTGTATTTATACCCTTTTCTTCTCAACCCTGAAGAGGACTCAGAGTAGCTTACAAGATATATATATATATATATATATATATATATATATATATATATACACACACACACACACACACACACACACAATATATTATATTATTAGCATAGTACAATAGCAGTATTAAATATTACTATGTTGTACTACTTATTTATTTACTGTATTTATACCCCGCTCTTCTCAAGCCCGAAGGGGACTCAGAGTGGCTTACAAGATAGATATACATACAATATATTATATTATTAGCATAGTACAATATCAGTATTAAATATTACTATATTATACTACATATTTATTTATTTACTGTATTTATACCCCGCTCTTCTCAAGCCCGAAGGGGACTCAGAGTGGCTATATCATTATATTGTAATATTATTAGTAATATTACATGTAATATAAAATATATAATTATAATATCATATTAGTAGTAGTATCATATTGTATTACATTATAATATTATAACTATTATCTATATCTGTCTGTCTATCTATCTATCTATCCATCCATCAATCTATATCTCCATCTATCATCTATCTATCTATCTATCTATTAGGCCTGTGCGGTTTCGTTCGTTAATTCATTAATTCGTTATTAATTCGTTATTTTTGGCATTTCCGAAGCGATATTGAAACATATTTCCAAACCCGGAAGGGTTTTTAAATATCGAACCAGCAACCCCCATAGTTTTAACGAGCCTCCGCTCGTTTCGTTAATGGGGTGGAGGCTGCTGGAGTGCTGGTGCCTGGGAGCCAATCCGGCGCTCCCAAGCAGTGCACCATGGGTCCGTGGCTGTCTGTTTTTGATTGGCCGGCGAGCCCTTTCAAAGCGGCTCCGCGCGGCCCGTAGCTTGCTGCAGAGGGCGAGGGAGTTTGCATTGGGTTGGCTTGGCAATGGCTGCTAGCAACTGGGATTGGATTCATTCCTTGCTGCTGTGAGTGCTGCTTGCTTCATTTGCTGTCTCTTGCCTGTGTTTGGTCCACATTTGGGCCATTTTTTGGTTAATTTTCCATTTTAAAATATTTTTTAATATTATTTTTTAATTTTTTTTTAATATTATTTTAATATTATTCTTAAAAAATATTCTAAAAAAGAAAAGACTCTTCTGTTGGTGTGCTCTCATTTGCTGTCTCCTGCCTGTGTTTGGTCCACATTTGGGCCATTTTTTGGTTAATTTTCCATTTTAAAATTTTTAATATTATTTTTAATATTATTTTTTAATATTATTTTTTAATATTATTCTTAAAAAATATTCTAAAAAAGAAAAGACTCTTCTGTTGGTGTGTGCTCTCATTTGCTGTATCCTGCCTGTGTTTGGTCATTTTTTGGTTAATTTTCCATTTTAAAATATTTTTAATATTATTTTAATATTATTTTTTAATATTATTTTTATATTATTTTAATATTATTCTTAAAAAATATTCTAAAAAAGAAAAGACTCTTCTGTTGGTGTGTGCTCTCATTTGCTGTATCCTGCCTGTGTTTGGTCCACATTTGGGCCATTTTTTGGTTAATTTTCCATTTTAAAATATTTTTTAATATTATTTTAATATTATTCTTAAGAAATACAAAAATATTCTAAAAATTCGTTAATATTTACAAATTTCTTAAATACCAAAACTTTTTTTTGGAAAGTTTTGTAATTATTTTAAATATCGAAACAAAAAAACACCCCAATTACAAATCGATTTTAGAAACAAATTTTTTCTTGATCAAACAGGCCTACTATCTATCTATCTATCTATCTATATACACACACACACACACACACACAATATATTATATTATTAGCATAGTACAATAGCAGTATTAAATATTACTATGTTGTACTACTTATTTATTTACTGTATTTATACCCCGCTCTTCTCAAGCCCGAAGGGGACTCAGAGTGGCTTACAAGATAGATATACATACAATATATTATATTATTAGCATAGTACAATATCAGTATTAAATATTACTATATTATACTACATATTTATTTATTTACTGTATTTATACCCCGCTCTTCTCAAGCCCGAAGGGGACTCAGAGTGGCTATATCATTATATTGTAATATTATTAGTAATATTACATGTAATATAAAATATATAATTATAATATCATATTAGTAGTAGTATCATATTGTATTACATTATAATATTATAACTATTATCTATATCTGTCTATCTATCTATCTATCCATCCATCAATCTATATCTCCATCTGTCATCTATCTATCTATCTATCTATCTATCTATCTATCTATCTATCTATCATATTATATCTTTAAAACTAGAGCAAATAGGGGGAAACTATACCCAGAAATAGGACTAAAGAAAATCTGTGTTGGACAGTATTATGGTAAACTACTGCTTGAGCAACATTGACCAAAGTGCATGGGAACACTATCCCATGCAACTAAAAGGTAATGCAAACTATGCTCCTGTAAGACGGAACATTGACATCTATCCGATAGATGATTTCCACCTTAAACACTAGTTATCTAATAAGGATTTCAGTGGTCAAGATGGCTTCATTTAGTTATCTGTGGAATAACTTAGCAAATCTGAAAACTGATCTATCCATGTGTCTTTTAAAGCCTTTCCGTTGCTCTCATTGATTCCTATGTTTGCATTTTGTGGCAGCGACGAGCCACGGATGGACATGGCAGACGGTTATGCTTCTCCTATCCAGGTCTACATTTATGCTCTTGGTGGTGCTTGTCAACGCTTTCTACGTTTTGGAGGAGCTTTTCTCTTCAAAAGTATTTTCAGATGGGAAAAAAATGACAGAGATTTCCTTTCTTGTGGACGTCTTATAATAACACTTTCCGAACTCTGGAAGTTAGAACGAAACGCCCAGGTGGTTTCTGCCAAATATTGTGAAATTCTAGATGGGGACGGCTCCGGAGGCAGCTTGTGAACCCTCTTGTAGACATAGCTAAGCTGAGCACCGGCTCTTTCCCATTGAGAAACTAAATTGGGGTCCTGGGCTGATT